GTACAACGTTTCGACAAGGTTTTGTCATAATCAGGTACAAACCTTGTCGAAACGTTGTACATTTGCTGTTATGTTAAACTTATATTAAAGTTTTTCTTCATTACCCATTCAAGCCGGAGCATTATTAGTCTCAAAGTGGGTTCCTCGTCATCGAATATATTAACACAGCTTTCTGTAATCTACGATAGCGTAGTGCAATAAGGTTTGGTTTGTCTTACAACAACTTGCTGTTATTTCTATACAGGGCTAAGAAGCTATTAAAGACGTAGAGAAAAAGAAATTGATGCTGGAAAATATGTAAAATTAACATCAGAATCCACTAATGTTATAGTAGTATTTTCAGACTAAGAAAATGAATTTAACATTAAATAAAAGGGAAAAAACATTAAATGACATGTATAAGTGTATTGACATTATAATCTTCGGGAAAAGAATGTAGAAACTGAAGTTGTCAAATTAGCCTTCAAAACAACTGATATTAAGAATTCCTTTAACTACTGAAATTCTGACCAATGTGGAAGCTTCGCCTCATCTCTAAACATTTTCTTAAAATTGTTACTTGGTGGCAAACTAGAAGCTTCTGTTCTAGTGACAAAAGCTATTACCTTGCTGTGTTATCATAACCTATTAATTTCTTATAAGACTCTTAAGATTTTACCTGTTGTTTCTACAACTCATGATCGAACAAGTAATTCTTGTAAAATGAATACATTTAAACCTGATGAGTTGAGCAGATTATAAAATCACCCACAAACATATTTACTGATGTGCATTTTTCAATAACTTCAATTAACTTAATTTTAGTTTCTTTAACACTAGTAATCATACACATTATCTTAATTCTAGTTTCTTTAACGCTAGTAATCATACACATTATCTTAAATCTAGTTTATTTAACACTAGTAATCATACACATTATCTTAATTATAGTTTATTTAACACTAGTAATCATACACATTATCTTAATTCTAGTTTCTTTAACGCTAGTAATCATACACATTATCCTGAAGAATAAGGACACACTTTGGGCCAAGTTCTTCAGCAGTGGACGAGCTTCTCCTGGTTTGGCTATGTGGAGCTCGTAAATTGAATTTTCCAATCACAGGACAGATTTTTCAGGAGAAGACCTTAAGGATTGCATAATCTCTACGGATTCTAGTCTGGGAGTGCTCTTCCTTATGGGTAAATCAATGGAAGGCTCATCATGACATAAGCCTCAAGGAGGTAGTTGTAGAAGCAGCAACTGTGAATGTGGAGGTGGTTGACAAGTAGAGGAGCACAGCCCCGTCGAAACGTATCAAAAACTTTAAGCCTTGCAATGTATTCAATGCCGACAAAAATGAGCTGTTCTGGAGAGTTCTCCCAAACAAGACATTAAGTTTCAAAGGTAAGAAGTGCTATGGAGGCAAGCTCAGCAAGGAGAGGGTCACTCTCATGGATATGGCAAATGTAGATGGAACTGAAAAGTATCCACTGACTGTCATCGGTAAGTTCCAGAAACCACTTTGCTTCAAAATGGCAAAAAGGCTTCCAACTGCATATGACTTCAATCAGAAGGCTTGGATGATGATTGTGGCTTTCACTAGCTGGATTCGAAAGTTCGATGCTCTTATGGCATACCAAAAAAGAAAGGTGTTGCTATTCGCCAACAATTGTAGCGCTCATCCACCAATAACAGATATTAGAGCTGTCATTCTCCACCTTCAGCCATGTGATGCCAGAATAATAAAGAACTGAAACACTACTACAGGAAATGCCTTATGTCGAAGATGCTCACCTGATCGATGCAGAAAAAGACATGGAAGAGTTCAAAATTTCCCTTCTTGATGCAATGACAAGTGTTTGCGTGGTCTTTTGTAAGCAAAGAGACAATAAAGAAGTGTTTTTGACACATCAGATTCATCTGGTCAAGTGATACAGCAGAAGAAGAGGTGGAAGAGGAAGACACTGGTACATATGCTGATGTCACCCACTTGCAGCAACTGAACATCACTGACCCCGATCTCAATCCTGAAGCGATCCTTAATGTGAACCATCATCTTGCAAATCACGAGATGCCAGCAGATCCAGAAAATGAAGTTCAGGCCAGATAGGAAGGAAATTGATGATGATGACTCCAGACAGGAGTTACCAATTGTAACTACAACTGAAGCAGTACGTGCCATCGAAGTGCTCTGCAGAAAGGCTTGGACGACAAGTTCCTCATTAAATTTGAAAAATGTTAACATTAAAACGCTCGAAAACAAGGAAGCAAACAACACTTGACACTTCTTTTCCCAAAGTTGTAAACCTTTATGTAAATAAAGAGCAATCTCTTGAGAAATAACAGTTATTCGTGATATCTTTTGTACAATTATAACTTTTAGATTAACTTTCTTAATAAATATTTCATCCATCTACGTACATTCATTACCTTCACTATAAAAAAACAATGTCTTTCAATTTTACTCGACTTAAGATATATCGAAATTTTTACTGTGTCCCCTGATATTCGTTATGTCCGGATTGTCTGTAAATATTATTTCAGTTCAGGATATTCAACTACATTATTAAATAAAATATACAGGCCACAATTCAGCAAAATTATGAAATTTTAAATTTAAAAAACAAGTTATAAAATGTATAAACTTGATAAAGTGAAAAATAAGACTAACCATCGTATTCAGGAAAGTAGTCGACAAGATGGGAAAACATTATTTTTTCTTCCAACAAATCTTTTTTATTGAGGAAGAGGATGACTGAAGAGTTCAGGAACCAAGGATATGTGATTATTGTCTTGAAAAGCGCTTTACTTTCTTCCATTCGATTCTAAAAAATTAATACAACACATGCATCTGAAGCAAAAAAACACGTGTACAATAATCCCAAAAAGGGTTTTCTTTAAATAAAATATTCTACAGTATCCAATGTTCACTGTCTCTCAATGCTAGTCAAAATTACGTTAGAGAATTGATGTGCATTACAAACTTGATAAACCATAGCTTAGTTCTCCATATATGCACAATAACAAGATAAAATTGGGGACATTTCAAAATTTCTTAAGTTATAATTTAAACCTTTTCTGTGATGGATTTTAAGCTCACATTTCAACACACTCCGAAAAGAATTTAACAAATTAATAAACATAAAAATATGGGTTTAACTGAGAGTAACAACCTTAAAATATTGACAAATATATGAATATTCCTATAAATTACTTTATTTTGATAAATTTTCCAGACATTTTTGTTAAAAGCTTCCTGAGCTTCTCTACATTTGACATTAACTTTGTGTAACACCTGTATGATAACACAGAAAGGTATGTATGATAACACAGAAAGGTATGTATGATAACACAGAAAGGTATGTATGATAACACAGCAAGGTATTGTATGATAACACAGCAAGGTATGTGTGTGATAACACAGCAAGAGGTATATGTATGATAACACAGCAAGAGGTATATGTATGATAACACAGCAAGAGGTATATGTATGATAACACAGCAAGAGGTATATGTATGATAACACAGCAAGTTATGTATGATAACACAGCAAGGTATGTATGATAACACAGCAAGGTATGTATGATAACACAGCAAGGTATGTTGATAACACAACAAGGTATGTGTGTGACAACACAACAAGGTATGTGTGTGACTACACAGCAAGGTATGTGTGTGACTACACAACAA